ATTGTTTCGATTCCTCCTTAATAAATAAAGGGGATTGATATTAGCGTTTTGGTTAATATTCTGATTGGCATTATTTTCGACCCTTGTTTGTCGGGGTATCGCCAATGCATCTCCGATACGTGACATTTGGTCTGCTAATATCTCAAAACTAGTGGTGGTGTTTTGAACTAATGGATTCAGTACTGTAGTCAACTGTTGTGATAACATGTTGACCATTTCGAAATTGCTTTCGTCCATTTGTTGTCGAAGTACTCCTAATGAGTTACTGGAAATTCCAGTACTAGCGTTTTCGATAGTCTCAAAATTGGATCGATGATAATCTCTATCGAGTAGGTATCTCCCATGATCCGGGTTTGCTCTGTGATCTAGGTTTGATACCGAAGGCGTTTGTTGCGTTCCTAAATTCTGCACATTCCCTGAATTCTGGGGTGTTACTAAATTTTGAGATACTCCTAAATTTGGGGATACTCCAAAATTTTGAGGCATGCCTAAGGTTTGAAATGTGCCTAAGTTTTGGGGCATTCCTAGGTTAAATCTCGTACTTCGTTGTATTGAAGAAGTATCAGCCCCATTCATATTATTAATGAAAAAGTCGGGTGGTCTTACACTCATATGCGGTCATGCATATGTTGTTACGGGATTCCCCGTAGTTTGTATATTGTTTGACATTACAGTGTTAGACCCTAACTGAGTGTTTAGCGATGTGTCTGAGCTTTGTTCAGCACTCACAGGTATTGACGTACTCACATTTGTCGATATTACGGGCATATTCCCATTGTGAACTTGCCCCCCAGTGTTTGGCAAATGTGAACTATTTGGAATCTCATTGTTATTCTGATTATGTGGTGTATTTTAACTCATTCTCAATATTCGCCCACTTCTTAATCTCATACACTTTCTAACTAACCAATTGTTTGTGTTTTTTGACACAACTCCCTACCTAGTGCGCCAATTTGTTTCTGGTGAAAATTTGATCGATTTCGATTTATCGAGACTTAAGTTCTAATCAAATCTTGACCATGTAGATTCTTTTCATTTAGGCTAGCAACTAGTTTTCAATCGAAAAATGCATGAGAATCGAGAATCATATAATCTCAAGAAATGCAAACGGCATGACTTAGAGTGCAGAAAGTACTGTTTTTTATGTCTTTTCTTAAGAAACGCGAAGTAAAGAAAGCAGTAAAAACGTCGAATCGAAAGCAGAATATTAAATTGCAGAGAAATGTAGAATGTGGAAACCTCAAATTTGCATTAAATGTAAATGGCAAGGAATCGAACTTGCGGAAATGTAAATAACAGGGAATCGAAATTGTAGAAATGTAAATGGCGAGTATCTTAAACGCATTACCTTAACTTGCATAAAAATAAATGACAAGGAATTGAAAGGACAAACTTAAAGTTGATAAACATAATGTTGCAATGAAAGTAAAATTACCAGGGAAAGTAAAGAAAGCGATAAAGATAATCAATGAAAATGGAAATTCAGAGCATTAGAAACTTCATGATGCGTCGTTCTCCTGCAGACTGTTCACTTACGCTTCTATTGTCTCTGCCAATTTCCCCAGCTTCGTTCTATTTATAGAGCGCCCTTCAAATAACCTCCTAAGAACAGTTAACAAAACTGCCACCACGATCCATCATGCACGTCCCTTAGTTTTATGGTTTAGAAAACTGCATTCATGTTCCATGCATGAGATAAATGCTTCCTTGATCTTCGATCTCTGCCTCAGTTTAGAAACCGCTTCCCATGTTCTATGTGCGTGTTAACCGTTCCCTCGATCTCGATTTCAGACATCGAGTACTTTGAATTGTTTTTTATTCCCTTTAATTTTAACTTTGCACTATTCTAATTTCTCGATTCTCTTCAACAATAGACATCGAAATTTGTTTCTTCGATTCTTGATTTTGATTCTCGATGTGTTTTTATATTGTGGTTACCAGTTGTCTTTTACCTGTCTCTTATCAATTTTTTAATCAACTATATGATTTTCGATTTTCTCTCTCTTGTTCTTTCGATCCTCATATCGATTTTTTTTTTAATAACACCATCACTACATTGAATAACCACCTCAGGTACTGTATCTCTCGTATATGGCTCACTTTGAGCAATTTTTTAGTCTCTTCTTTGATCGTCTGCCGCTTCTCGAATCCAAATTTCTTCTTCATTGCGTTAACGGCTTTGCGTTCGGATCAATGACTAACTTATAGCATAAGAAGTTGGGATTTATTCCAGGGATGTCTCGAGCCTACCACGCGAATGCATGCACATTTGCGCGTAGCATGCTTGCTAACAAGCCCCTCCTCCAGCTCGGGAGACAAGCCACTAGGTTGGGAATTTGCTGACCTAGTGCGTGCAACCATTGTGTGGAATTGGGAAACAAAAGAAAAAATTGTATTTCGTTCCCCACAGACGACGCGAATATTGTGATAAAAAAATTTCTTCTCTTTTCTTGATCCAGACCTAATTTTATTTACTTTATTTGGACTATTTGGGATGATTTTTCAGGGTCAATCATTAACGGATTGACGTTAATTATGATTCAATAAGCGTGATTCATGAATATAAATCCGGAATGAGATATCAACAACGGGATTAAATTATTTTGTGCACTACATTATCAAATAATTTATGCTTAATTCAACAACTCACCTTGGTGGATTTGTGATGATGTTTTTGGGCTTCTTGATACTATTTATGTGGGCCTTATAGACGGGTTATGAGTTTGTTTAATTGTTAGACTTTGTAATCTCCGCAATTTGTACAAGCCACAACACATTCTAAGACAGGCCTTAAATATTTAATTTAAATACTAGGAATATATTTAATTAGATAAATATTTTCTATTTATGATAAATTACGATCATTCTTATTTTTATTTGTAAATTTTATATTTTTTATAATTTATTCAATATGTAAACGATTCTTCTTCCTTTAATTATGTTTTTTTTTTCATCAGACAAAGAAACAAAAATCAATCACATTTTTTCTTCAATCTTTTTTTCTTAATTATTCACTAAATTAAACAATTACTTTAGTTATCTCTTTTTGAAAAATCCATGTCAAATTTATGTCTTTCTCATTTTAAAATTTTATAAACAAATATTTACATTTAAAAATTAATATATACATTAAATTTTAATAAATTAAAATAAAAAACATAATAAAAATTTCAACATATTATCAATTTTTTACTGTTATCGAAAAGAGAAAAATAAAAATACCACAGTTTAAAAAATGTAATTATTATAATTTATATATTTAAAAAATAATAAGATATATAAGAAAAAATATACATTAATTAAAAATATCAATATATAAACGTTAAATTACTTATGTTTTCAATTAGTAATTAATAATAAAAATTTAATTTATAAATGTTATCTTTTTAATTTTTAATTTTAAAATATATAACCTTTTTTGAAAATAAAAATCTATGAAATTAGAGATGGAAAAAGAAACAAATATTTCGTCTTTATATTTTTTTAAGTTTTTTTATTCTTATATTTTTAAGTTAAAACAATTTAATTATCTAACTTTTAAAATATATAGTTTAAATTAATTTTATACATAAATTTAACCTTTAATAATAAAATTTACTTACAAATGTATTAAAAAACTCAAATTTATATTTTTAAATTTAATGACTGATTAATAAATTTCAAAAAAAATTAATAAAATAATATATTTAATTTCTAAACAAAATTAGATACAGAAGTGACACGCAGATGCATTGTGTACTCCAAAAGTTCGGAGGTGTCGCACGAAATGCTTTCTTGTTGACATTTTTTTTTTATCTTCTCGCGCCGCGTTTTATTTGTTCTGGTTTTTTAATGCCCCCAGACAGCATTTTCAAACATGCGTGACTGTGTTGTTCTCCTTAGTTCATTTTTATTTTCTATTTTAAAATTTAACCTCTTTTATTTTCTTTTTATAATATATTCACTCTAAAGACAATTGATTATCCTTCGTGAGATATTTTTAGATACCAATTTAGATTATTAAAAAAACAAGTTTACGTTAGAATCAATCTAAACACATGAACAATAATAATAATATATGATGCATGCAAAATTTAAAAGAAGTTTTCAATAATTATTTAATAACTTTTTTACAAACGTTTTAAATTTAAATTTGTGTTTTTTTTTCTACAAATTCATTTTTACTTTATCAAATAAACTGATAGTTTGAATTAAATTTGTTAAGGTCATTACTAAGTAATTTTCGTTTAATTTTATTTTTATAATCAGTTTTCAGTGCGATCATAACACTAATTTTAAATTTTGTATACTACTCATTGATTAACAGCTAACTTTTCAAATCCAGCTAATGTCTTTAATTAGTTTTGCTAAACTAATAAGTGAAATATTTATTATAAAGGATAAGAATCATTGATTCCTTTATTGTAGAATCTTTAACTGATTTCTATATTATCTTAACAATAAAAATTTAAAATTTATCATATTATATATATATATATATATATATATATATATATATATAAAGGAACGTAAATAAAATTATAAAATAATCAAATAATTAAACGCAGGTGTAACATTTTTATTTTATTTTTTGTTTCTTTCTACTAACCTCAAAATCCCCACAAGACCATGTCCACCATTGAAGAAAAAAATCTTTTTCATTAACTCCATATTTGATACCCTTGATTGGGCCATGTGTATTACATTCAAAGTTTGAACACAATCAACAAAAATAAAATCTTTACACGCTACACTCCCACAATGCACACACCTTATTATTCATCTACTTGTAATAAAAACTAGTAGTAAACTCCCTTTTTATTCTTCCCTTTATATTTCAATCCCCATCACCATTCTCTTCTGGCTTCGGTTTCTACAACCTCTCTACCCCTAATTTGCTCTCAAATTTTCTAGTCTCACACCGTCACACACTCTCCCTCTCCTCTCTCTCTCTTTCTCATCTACTCCATATAAACACACCAACACACACCCTCTTCCACATCTCACTTTTCATTTCCCTCATGGACCTTCATAAACCTCTGTGCCTCTTCTTGTTTCTCCTCACTCTTCTCTCAAGCTCCCAAGCCCGCAAATTCAACGTTGGTGGAAGCCAAGGGTGGGTTCCAAACCCTTCCGAGGGTTACAACAATTGGGCTGGAAGAAACCGATTCCAAATCAATGACACAATAGGTAACTAATACCAATACTTATTAAAGCCACCATTAGCACCCACATACCCACAAAGGTTTGTAGTTTCCATCATGCATAAAGATTAAATTTTTATTGATTTTAATTCATGGGTATCTTTCTTTTTCCTTTTTTGTTTTGGGGGGTTTTGTTTTGCATACTAGTTTTCAAGTACCAGAAGGGTTCGGACTCGGTGTTGGAAGTGAAGAAGGAAGATTATGACAAGTGCAACATGACCAACCCAATCAAGAAGTTTGAAGACGGTGACACTGAGTTCAAGTTTGATCGATCAGGACCATTCTACTTCATAAGTGGAACAGATGGAAATTGTGAAAAGGGTCAGAAATTAATTGTTGTCGTTTTGTCCCCAAGAACACCACCTCAACCGCTACCACCGTCTTCACCGCCAAACCTTTCACCGCTACCACCGTCACCAAAACTTTCACCGTCTTCACCATCGGTACCACCGAAACCTTCCCTTTCACCTTCATTATCACCATTACCATCACCATCGCTACCACCAATATCTTCACCTTCACCGTCAACAAAGCCTAACCCACCAACCGTGTCACCATCCATCCCACCGTTTCCGGTGGTTCAACCTCCTTTAAGCTCTCCAACTCCAGCAAACGCTCCGACATCGGTGACACTACCTCCGATAGCGTCCCCAGCTTACTCTCCTCCGGCACCATCGCCGCCACAGTCAGCGCCGTCGTCATCGCCGCCGCAGTCAGCGCCGTCGTCATCGCCGCCGCAGTCAGCGCCGTCTAATTCAACGGCACCGTCATCGAATAATGGTGGATTTTCTGCGGCTCCTTCGAACGCTTTGGTGTATTCCGTTACAATTCTCGTTGGTACTGCGTTGTTCCGTCACTGAACATCCATTTTAATTGATGACAAACTTTACTAGGGACATGTTTTGTGTTTGAATGTTTTTGTTAGGACACATGTGGTAATAATTTTTGGGTTTTATTGTTGCTGTTTTTTCTTTGATTTGGATATTAATTATTAGCATGATTTAGTTCTGTGATCGTGAGGATTTCTTTGGAATTTCATCTTTTGATATTATTTATCGTAGAATGGTTTCCTAACTCTTGTTTTTCGAATCATCTCGTAGTTGTTGTTTCACACTTTTAAATATTGGAATAAGCATTTAATTCCATGCTTGAAATATTCATTCAATCTAATTAATTTCTACAAGGTAACGAATAAAAAAGTTTATTGTTTCAAATTTATGAAATTTAAAAAGCATTAAATTTCTTTTTCTGAAAATAAATACTTATTTTTGTCGTTAATAAAATATCAACAAAACTAATTAATTTTGTTAATTTTAAAAACATATTGCAATAAATCAATTTTGTCGTTATTATTAGTTACTTTTAAAATTCCCCTCTTGTAAATTATTAATAAAAAAAGAAACATTTTCGTAATAAAAATTCATTTTAATAAAAAGCTGTTACATTAATTTGTTTAAAAAATTGTGTTTATAGCAAATGGGAGAGAATAGTTTATATTTTTTTGTATAGAATCAATTTAAACATTTACTTCAATTCTTGTTTAGTTTGATTCAAAATAATTAATTTATTGTCTATTTTTCGAATATTGATTTATTCAATTAACTTCATTAACATTTTAGTTTTATCAGCTGTTTTCATTTTTATTTATTTAAAAAAATAATAAAATAAAATGATAAAGGTTTGAATTCAAATAATCGCTATTTTTTATTCTAACTTATTTTTTTATATTCTTATGTCTTTTGGAATGAAAACAAATTTACAACTTTTGAAATGTTAAAGGGAGAAATTTGTCTAAAATCGACGCTCTTAATAATTTTAGGCAACGTAAATTAGAAAAATTGTTTATTAATTTACCTCATACTATAATATTTTATTTCATTAATTATTTGAATTTGATTGAATAAAAAAAAGTGATTCAGAATAAATAATAAAAACTAAACGATGATATTAAAAATTTGGAAAAGAACGATAATTTTACTTGTTTCAGAAATAAATTTGAAGAGTTCATTATTCGAGTCGTCGTAATAAATAGTTTTGGAAGAGTCAACCAAAACAACTGCATACGCTGAAGGGTTATCTGATCAATGCATTTGGATTGGAAACATTGGGTGTTTGCAATTATGAGCACTTTCTTCAAAAACTACTCTTTTCAACTTCCAACAAAAGTAGTAAAATATTTTAATAGTTTCTGTTTAGTAATTCAAAAATATTCAAAAATTTAAAAGCTTTTTGTATTTCTAAACACTTTGTTGTTCTTTAAAATTATATGATAAATTTGTGTTTGCTTCTGTGGTCATGGCTCTGGTGGTGTCAACATCTTATCAGTTGTAGAAAAGGAAAACAATTCACGATTCTTGAAGATGAATAGCTACCATTTCTTATGGCCACCATCCCCATAAAGTACAAATTATGGAAAGAAACTGTGCTTATGGTACTTTACCATCAAGAAAATACAGAATTTTGGGAAAAGAAAGTGACAGTTTAAAGTTTGTTATGTAGGTGGTGAGAGAGAGGAGGGTTAAAAATATAACGACACATAATTTGAAATGCATAAAAAATAACATAAATATGAATAAATGAAAGAAAGAAATTGAGTCAAATCAATGTCCCAAGTCATTTCTGACTCAGCCCCCACTTTAATGTGATGACACACTTATTCATCCACACACAAACTTAATTTTTTAAGTTTTATGGATGAAAAATGATACTTTCACCATTCAAATTTATACAACTCCCGTAAATAATTTTATTTTAATATTATAATAATAATTTTATTTTATTTTTTATTTTTATTAAATCAGTCTATAAATTATTATATTAATAAAATTGAGTTATTTAAAGAATTGTATGATTTATGGTTGTCAAAATATCACTACTCTTAAAAAATTGTCCTTTCCTCCTCCGAAATAGGATTTATATGGGATTTGTTTGAATAAGATTTGATTAAATTAACTAAAAAAATTAGATTGATTTATAACTATTTATTTATTTATTTTAGTCAATTTAATTTATTATTCATTTAATTAATTGGCTTAATTGATCATAAATTTTTAGTTTTTAATAAAATATGTACTTTCAATATATAAAATAAGATTTTCAAAATATAACATACTAAATAATATTAAAATAATTTAATATTTAATTAATAAAATATTGAATAAATTAAATAATAATTATATTCATATTATTATTTTAATCATTTTAATTATATTAAGTAAGATTAAATCTATTGAATCTACAAAATTTGTTAAATTGAGTTGAGTTTGACCAAATCATAAAAATAATTCAATATTTTTTATTTGAATCTAGTAAATATTCATATCCTAACTTTATATAATTCGTAAGAATATATTAAGTCCAATAAAATAATGATTTAATATATTATATCAGATTAGGATATTAAATTATATTAGATTAAATTAAGTTTTACCAAAAATAAAATTAAAAAGCAACTAACTCTTCTAATATTGTTTGGATTTTTAAGAATCATAATTTGGTTCTTCGGTGTCTTTGTAGATGGTTAAAGTCAAATATCTTCTTCAAACCATAAAGATTCGTGTTACTCGAGGACAAAAAAGACGTTGATTTCTTTATTAATTAATGGATTCAAAAAATATTTTTTTTAATTGATATTATGAATTTGTTTAGATATTAGTCTTGAATTCTTGACAATTATATTTTTTTTCATGAGTATATATTTTCGTAATTATTGTATTTTTACTGGGTTGATTTGTCTTGCCATTTTCTTGTCTCCCTTTTTTTGGAATAATTTTATCATGAATGATGAAGTTGATATATAATTCAACCAAACCCAAATATTAATATTAATAGTAATGATGTAAATATTACTTAATATATCTAATTATTTTATTAATTAATTATATGATTTGAAATTATAATTTTAAACAAATTAAAACTAAATAACCTAGTTGATATAATCTAATTTAACGGATAAAATGTGAATTGAGTTGAATTAAATATAAAAAGTATAAAAATTGACTCAGTCAAATGTTTTATTTCTCGTTAGTATTAAATGATAAATTTATCAAAATCGAACGGATGCACGTCTATTTCTTTATGCAGTATAGTAACTTAATAATATATTGATACTTAAAACATGAAAGTCACAATTACCTTAAAAATAATTTTTATTTAATAATCTATGAAACTTTTTTTTTACGTTATTCAATGTTTATCATAGTCTTCCAACTAATAAGAAAGTGGCATTTTGCAGTTGACGTGTAGGTCAGCTTAGAATAAGACTCGTTGGTTTTTCCGCGTATGCTCACGACATCTTTTGTTTTTAACTATGATACGACATCGTATGGCAAATTTAGGATATTTATTTATGGTCGGAAATTTTAAGTAAACATAACGTGTAACGTGGATGCTTTTTTAATATAGTTTATTTTATATTTAAATTTATATTTTTAAAATTTATATAAATCATTCAGTTAAAAAATAAAAAACTGTTAATATACATTTTAAATATATATTATTCTTCTTAGGAATCTTGTAAAATATATAATGATAAATTTTCCTCACAAAATGTTGTTTATTTCTAAATATTACTGTAATTGACACGTATAATTTAAAGATAAATGAAAAAAAAATCAATCAATATCTCATAAAACAAATTTAGCGTATACACGTCTATAAGTGACAAGTCATTTCACGCCTCTCTAGGGTTCCAATAATAAAACTAGGTCAATATAGAGTTAGGTATAGTTGAATAATTTTAAAATTTTTATTTTTTTATAATAGGGTGAATGACGATTTACAAAATTATCAAAAAAAGTGTTCACTTTTATAAATATTAATATCTTACATAAATAATTAACTAATATTATTATCATTAAGAAAGACGTAACATTTTATGTAAGCAATTTGATAATATATCAGCATAGATAAGAATCGCTTGATTTTAAATTTGATCAAATAGCGAAACGGATTTATAAATCACGATCAAATCATAGCCAAGTTATTTTTCTAAGTCATAAGTTTGGTGTGCTACACGTAATTTTTTAAAAATCATCATAAATAAAAACTTATTGATTCTAAGTCATAAATATACACTTCTCTTTCAACACTACTAAATGATAATTTTCTTTTTGGAGTCAAGTAAATTATAAAAACATTTTTTATCAATAAAAACTTATTTTAAAAAAATAAATTTTTAAAATCTACAAAAATTAAATCAAACACACTAATAATAGTAGAATGCTTAGGTCTCACAACTTCCTAACAAGGTGAGTGTAGACAATGGGCTTAAGAACATTCTTTCTGGGCTTGAGAACATTCTTTTTGGGCTTGAGAACGTTCAAATATCCCTTGTATTGAAGTTCGTAACGACAACAAAGATCTTCCCAAATCTCTGTCTTGAATAATCTTGGAATAAATCGAGTTAGGGTTGGACATGAATTCATCTTTTAAAAATATAATTTATATTTAATTTAAACTCAATAAAATATATTGAATTTTAAATTTATTTTGGTTTAATTACATTAAATTGACTGTACTTGTCAAAATTAGTCTAAATTTAATTTAAATTAAATTTATATTTATTTCATCATTTAATTTGAGTAAAATTACCATTAATTTTATATTACTATATATTTTAAATTTAAATTTAGTTTTATTTTAATTAGTTTAATTGTTATATTTTTATTAAATAATTGAAATATTTTTAAAGATAAAATTTTTAATCATGGAAGAGAGATCAAACACAACGATTCAACAAGAGGATGCAGGTACTCCATGAGTTTTTTTTTTCCTTTTTATATTACTGTTTCTTGCTGCTTAATTATTTTTCGTAATAACAAAATTTGTCATTTTTTGTCTTTGGGTAAAATGAGTAACT